CAAATGAAGAAATGATTGGAGGGGGGGGAGGGAAATTAAAGCAAATTTAAAAAAAAAATCTCATGTGGCAAAAGAGGGAGTCGAAATTCCACGGAAACAGCATTTCCTCTTCCATCTGCAAAAGGGGGAAGGGGCGAGGCCCGTTCCCAGCGGGATTTGGGGAGGGAACAGGGAGCAAAAATCCCCTTTTTTAGGCCCAAAATTCCCAGTTTTCCCAGGTGGGAGCGAAGGCAGGAACGGCCCTCCTGATGGGGGATGAGGAGGAGGATTTTTTTGGGAATGATGTGGGATTTTGTAGGAATGTTGTGGGATTTTTTGGGGTGGGATTTTTGGGAATGATGTGGGATTTTCTGGGAATGATGTGGGATTTTTTTGGGGAATGATGTGAGATTTTTTTGGGAATGTTGTGGGATTTTTGGGTGGGTTTTCTTTGGGAATGACGTGGGATTTTTTTGGGAATTATGTGGGACTTTTTGGGTGGGATTTTTTGGGAATGATGTGGGATTTTTTGGGTGGGATTTTTGGGAATGATGTGGGATTTTTTTTTGGGAACGATGTGGGATTTTTTTGGGAACAATGTGGGATTTTTTGGGTGAGATTTTTTTGGGAATGACGTGGGATTTTTTTGGGAATGATGTGGGATTTTTCGGGTGGGATTTTTTTGGGAATGACGTGGGATTTTTTTGGGAACAATGTGGGATTTTTTTGGGAATGTTGTGGGATTTTTTGCGTGGGATTTTTTGGGAATGTTGTGGGATTTTTTGGATGGGATGTTTTTGGGAACGATGTGGGATTTTTTTGGGAACGATGTGGGATTTTTTGGGAATGATGTGGAATTTTTTGGGGGGGAATTTTAGGGGGGATGAAGAGAGGAAATGCTGCCGGGTGGGGACCACGGGGACGCAGCGGCCACTTACGGGAGCCTTATCGAGACTTTCCGTGCTGGAGGAGAATTCCTGGGAAAAGGCAGGAAAAGGGGGGGGTGTTTTGTGGGTTTTTTGGGGGTGTTTTGTTGTTGTTGTTGCTGTTGTTTCGAAGATGGGAAGGTGGGAAGGGCAGAAAAAGCAACAGTTCAGCTCCAGGTTCCCAACCCGCTCCGTTATCCAGAGGTTTTTGTCCCTTCCCTCTGGAATTTTGGCTGCTTTTTTTTTTCCCAATCCCCCCCACCAAAAATCTCGGAGATGAAGCACCAAAACCAGGAGATGGAGATTCCAGGAGCAAAAAATCCCAGGGGTCTGAAGCAGAGGTTGCTCTGCTTGGGGTGGTGGCACCGAAGAAATTTCCCCCCCCTGGATCTTCCCGCTTTTTCATCCCTTTGGATTTGTCTTCCTCGGAAAGTCTTGGCTCTGGATTCCTTGGAGATCTTGGAGAGAGATCCCCAAACCAGCACCAAATCCATTTATTTCCCTCCCTTGGGCTCTGATCCAGCCCCCCAATCCCTCCTTTTTTTCCCCTCCTCCTCCTCTTCCCAACTCCCTTCCCATTCCCAGCTCTCCCAGCCCAGATTCTTCCCTCATTATCCAATTAAATGCTCCCTTAATTAACATTTTCCTTTGGGTGCCCTGACCAGTAGAACCAGTTGGGCCAAACCTTTCCCATTCCTAAAAAAAAAAAAAAAAAAATGTCCATTCCCAATCCAAGAAATCCAGGAAAATCGGGGGGGATTTATTTAATTCCCACTTTCTGGTGGGGAAGTGGATTGGGATGCATGGAAAAGAATCCCAAAATTCCTCAGGGGGAGGAAAAACAGACGGGAAAAGAACCCTCTGTGGGTTTCCTGGGAATTCCGGAATTCCTAGTGAATTTTTTTTTTTTTTTCCCCAGGGAATTTTTCGGGAGCATTTCAAACAGTTTGGAATCCAGGGAGGCTTCTGTGGCACCTGGAGCCAATCCCTGGTTTTGTGGCACGGCTTTCCCAGCCTCTGGAGCGTTCCAGGCTCCAATTCCATCCATAATTTACGGGAAGCTCCGGTTTCCAGGCTCCTTTTCCACATGAAAGATTCATCAGGGTTTTTCCAGGGGAAGGGGAAGCAGCAGGAAGGGGGGTGGTTGGGAACTCATAAAACTGCTCCAAATCTTCCTTCCATCCTTATCCCAAAGAGCCTTGGAATTCCCACCTCATTCCCTCCCCCATTTCCCACCGTTCCAAGCTGGAATTCCTTCAGGACAAGCCCCAGAATTGACAGATGAGCAATTCCAGCTCTTTTCCCTCTGGTCCCACATTCCCACCAGGAATTCCTCAGAGGGTGGTTTTTTTTTGGGGGGGGGGGGGGAAATCCCACAAAATCCCACAAAATCCCACAAAATCCCACAAAATCCCACAAAACATCCACGGAGCAGCCCGGCCCCGGATCCGAAGGAACTTCATCCCAGCAGCTCCCAAGGAGAATCTCAGGGGAGGAATCCCGGTTTGGAAGCAGCTGGAAGCTGGAATTGTCCCTTCCCAGCAGGAAAAGCCTGGATGAAGCTGGGAATGCCAGAGCTGG